AGAAACACCCCCCCCCCCACCCGCCGCGTGGGTAGGACGCCTCGCCATGCTCGCCGTCGCCTATTTCGCCGCGGAGGAGGTGCTGGGCGGCACCCCCGAGCTGCTGGGCTCCGCCTAAGCTGTCTCCGGAGGGCAGCGAGCATCCCCGACCCCTTCGCCGCGCAGCCGCTCGACTCGGCCGATTGATTTCCTTCATTCACGGCTCTCGGTCTTGCGAGTTGCCTCGCCTTCGTGCTCCACAGTGACTGCTGGAGGTGAGTGTGTTCTCCCTTCTTGGTTCTTGTTTTGAATGTCATTATAATGATGAAATGTGAAGTGTGGAACCGGAAGTGAATGACCCGACCCCTTTCTCCTTTATCGGGATTGCATACTATGAGACGGACGCGGGCGGGACCGTGATTCGCAACATCCTGGCGTCGGACGTCGCGGCGAAAGGCCAGGATGTTGCGGTCTGCGTCGTCCGCGTCGTGGCTTGTGCGTCGCCGCCTTCCCCCGGAGACGACGACGACGACGACGACGACGACGACGACGACGACGACTTCGGAACCGAGTAGACGAGCGGGTTCCACGTGGAGGATATGGGGCGTTGACGCCATCTGCGTTTTTCCTCTCCATCCCGCTCACGCTCCTCTGCATCGTGGGCGGACGCGACCTCCTCTTCGCATCCGTCTCGACCTGTCCCGTCATTTTCGAGAACGAGGCAAGTCGAAGGCAAATCGCCAAAATTCCTCGCGGGGCTCCGGCCTCCGCCCCGCACCCCGCCCTCCCACCCTGGACCCAAGTGTGTTTTCCGTCCAGAGTCGAGCAAATACACGAAAATACACGCTCCATGCTCAAATACACAAAAAATACAAAAGAAAGAAAGAAAGAAAAAAGACAACCCAAGGGAGGGATGGGAGGACGGCACGCCGCCACCACACAGGGATTTTAAGGAGAGGAGTGTGGTGGTGCTAGCCGTCGCCCACCCTAGCCCTTGGTCGTCTGCCTCTTTCTATCTCCCTTCGCAGTCCCTCGCCGATTCTCGCTGCAACCTTCATGCCACCTCGCGGTCGTCCCACTCTCGTCGTTCTCCCTCCTGTCGCTTCTTCCTCTGTCGCGTCGCTCTCCTCTGCCTCGTCCTGCGACGCCGCCGCCGCCTGCCGCTCCCTTGCTCTCGCTTCTTCTCCCGCCTTTCGGCGCAGCTCTGCCCTCCTCGCGGCATATTTTGGCCCCTCGAGTTTAGAGTTTATCGAGCTCTCCTCGCGCAAGGACGACTCTTCTGACGCCCACTGCGATCATTTGCCGCCAAGTCATATCGTTGCTCAGGTCCACTCTCTCTTCGAACACTTGTACCTCCACCGATGATGTTGGCGCTGGGGTCCCCTTGAGCACTTGAGCACTTGATAGGGTCGATTCCGCATGGTACGGGACCCCTCGATCGTCTGGCCCTCCCTCACTGGTGTGTTCATTGGGGGGGGTCATAACAAACACGGTACAGGATCGAGGTGCACGCTGCTGAGGGACCCCAGCGGGTAGATCGAGCAGTGTCGTCCCCCCTCTCCATCATCTCACTGGGAGACGTCGGCGGTGGTGGCGGTGTGACCGATCGAGCTACAAGAGGAGCTTGTTCAGCAGGATCCGGGACAGTCAGATGCACTACCTCACTGGGCCTGAGACCATCGTACGACCAGCATCCCGTCACCCCTCCGGATTTGTGTGGGGTCGAACCACTCCGGGATGGGCAAGCCCATTGAGCATTGTTGTAACGTTCCATTGGTTACTTGTCAAAATTCTGCAAAGGGGTGTGAACGGAGAGAGCAAACTCCTGGCAGCTCCCACAGCCGAAATGTGCGCCAGCTGCCCGCTCACCTGTGTCACGCCGCCGCGCACGCACCTCGCTATGTGCTCGCGCGAGCTCCCGCCCGAGCCTCCAGCTCGGTGTCCCACTGCTGCGGAGCCGATCGCTTCTCCTCGGCGCTCGCGTCGAGCCGAGCTCTCGGCACTCTACGGCAGGCGTCGCTGTGCGGGGCGCCCGTTTCCTGCTGGCCCGAGCGGAAAGCTCCACGTGCCCGCGCGAGCTCCCGGCCGAGCCTCCAGCTCGGCGTCCCACTGCTGAGGAGCCGATCGTCGTCCGTCGTCCGTCGGTTCTCTCGAGGAGCCGAGCTCTTTGGCCGGCGACGCTGCAGGACGGCGCGCGCGCACCCCCCCCCCTCCCTCACCCGCGCGCTCTTCCGCCGGCGGCGCACACGCACCCCTCGCCCCGGCGCTCTTCCGCGGCGCAGCCCCCCCCCCCCCCCCCCTCCCTCGATCTCGCGGCGAGAGCACGAGCGCGCCGTCCTCCGGCGACGCGCCGCCACGCTCTTCCTTAGGTCGTCCTCCGAGATATCGGTGCCGGACCGGCGGGGCGGGGGCGGGGCGGCGTCGGAGCAAGTGTCTCGGCCGTCGGTCGACGGAGCGGCGACCCGCGAGCACGCTTCGTCGGCGCCCGACGAGGGTGGTGCCGCTGTCGCTCTGCCGCGTGCGCAGGCGTGCGCAGGCGTGCCGAGGTCTCGCGACGGCACTCAGCCCGAGCCCCTCCGGGCGCTCGATCGTATGCTCGTGGAGGCGTCGCGCGGCCGCAGTTTTCGCAGCGGCGGCCGCCGCTGCGGTGGATGCGGGCCAGAAAGAAGGCCGCGCGCGCGGCCAGGGGCCAGGGGCTGGCTCTGGCTCGGGCGAGGGCGATCCCGGTTGTCCCTCCGCGGGCGCCTCTGGTCATGCCCGCTTGCTCGACGGCTGGGTTGTGCGTGCGCGCGACTCTCGAGTCGTCGGCGAGTAGTGTGCGCGGGCGGTGGGTGCCGTGGAGATTAGGGGAGATCGCTTTGAGCTGCGGGAGATGTTTGGGAGAACGACCAACGAGAGATACAGACACGGCGGTACGGTGTCTGGAGTAACATCTCAGAGATTGAGCAGCGCAGGGGGTGTGCACCTGCCCCCCCATCTCCGGTCCAACGAGTAGAAACATGTTTCCAAAAAGCAGCTACGCCCCGACACGACGACGAGACTCACTCTCCTCGCACTTCGCAGCAACCACAACCACAAGGTCCCAAGGATCGGGCGGGAGAGGAATTAGCTCAGCGAGAGACACGCACTCACACTCACACACACACACAGACACACACACACACACACACAGAGAGAGAGAGAGAGCGAGCGAGCGAGCGAGAGAGCGAGCGAGCGAGAGAGAGAGCGAGAGTACAGTACAGTGATCAACAGAGTCAGACCCCCACCCACACGCCGCGCAGTCAGCGCGCAGTGTGGGAAGCGACGACGAGACTCACTCCTCGCACTCGCAGCACGGATCCAACGGGAGGAACGAGGGGACGCCCGGGCAGCCCCCGGGGCACGCGCAGCCGTTACGGTGCGCGTCCTGCCCGCCGCCCGGCATCGGCGCATCCTCCGCCGCCGCCGGGGCCGGCGGCTCGCCCGGGATTGGCGCGTCCGTCATCGGCGCGCCCGGCATCGGCGCGCCCGGTGGCGCGCCCGGCATCGGCGCATCGTCCGCCGCGGACCGCGGCGGCCCATGCGCCCCACAATAGGGCACGGCCACGCCGGGCGTCGCCCGCAGGAACGCGGCAAAGGAGTCGTGGTCGAACGTGCCCTCCATGATGGCGAGCCGCGTCGCCGCGTGGGGCGGGCGGTTGATGGCGTCGACGACGACGACGCCCCACGCGTGCTTGACGGCGTCAGCCTGCTCGAGCCCGCGCAGCCACTCCGCCGCGTCCTTCGCGGTGCACTCGTTGTACGACGACGTGCGGGCGGCGAGCATGCGCCGCATCGCCAAGTAGTCGCAATCGCTGCAGCCGGCGCGCTGCACCACGGGCGGCAGCGTGTAGCGCGTCACGGCCGGGAGGTGCTGCGCCGGGAAGCAGAGGGCGTCGCTGCACGCCGGGCAAAGGGCCAGGTGGCGGAGCGCGAGCCCCGCGCGAGTGCGCCGCGAGTGCGCGAGAGCCGCCGCTAGGCGGCGGTAGCTCTCATAGAGAGCGCCTGCGGGCTGCTGCTCGCGCAGCGCCACCTCGAACGCGAACTTTGCGTCCGCGACGAGCTGCGGCGCGTGCGGCGCCTCGCCGTGCGCCTCTGCGTCCGCCTCGCGCAGCGTCAGCGCGACGCCGCGCCGCGCGCCGAGCAGCCGCGCGCGCGTCAGCCAATGCAACGGCCAGCACTGCGGCAGCAGCAGCTCCTGCCCATCGGCGCCGCGCCAGGGCTGCTGCTTGAGCTTTGGGTCGGCGCGCCATTGCGGCGGCTTGGGGAGGCACTGCCGGTACCACAGTAGCAAACGCGCGTCGAGCTGTTGCGTGGACAGCGAGTCCGGGTCGCACGAGAAGGCGTTCGGGTCAGCGTACGGGCCCTCCATCGCAGCGAGTTCGTAGTGCATCTGGTGGACGCGGATCGTTAAAC